AAATTGGGTAACACCCTCCAATTGTTTTACGGCAACTCGGTTAGTAAATTGAAAGTTTCTCATAATGTGTGTTCAGGACTTACGTTCCTATTAATAATTATTTCCAAAAAAAACCTAATCCGCAGACAGTCCGTCCTGTAAAAATAACATTTGAAATATTTTTCATTAGTCAAAATATAGTAATAAAATATGCGCTTTAAAAATGAATAAACTGTAAAAAACAGTATTCTCGGTCAGCGTATGCAAGTCATTAGTACAATATTCGGGTCGGATTGAAAACGAGCGGTTGTATGGTGAAAAAATGTTTGAATACATTATGATTGATCATTGTCTTTTTTTGTTATTGTTGTTCGCTATTCGTCATTGCATTATATTATAATTACTGTTTTAATCTAACAACAACAATAGACCGTAATACTCATTCGATCGGTTATCAAAATATGTACCGTATAGTAGTAGAAATAATAAATCATTATTATTAAACGGTTACACACAAGCATAAGCGTACAACGGAACAAAAACGAAAGCTGTTTTTTAGGCTAGTGAAATGGATCGCGATGGCCAAAGAATAATAACCGAGTGTTAGCGTTGCAGTTATATTATACAATAATAGCTGATGTGAGTGGTGTGAGGTCATAAATTACCGGAATCCTAGTGTGCTCGTGCTTGCTCTATATGTACAGCAATAACTATTATCATTGCAAGTGTCAAATCTCAACAATTATCGCCGCTGATCGATTTCGCACGTTTTTGCGTTAACCGAAAGACGAACTAGTCAAGACGTTGCAGCGATTAGTATTGTCAACACCATATAGGTTCGACTATACATATATATATATATATTATTATTATTGACAATTACCAATTGCGATAATTTCTGGATCGTTTGCCCAGAGAAAAAAACACCGTAGTTTGTGATCAATGATCACTATATACTATAGTGGTTAGCACCCAGTGTTATATAGCGCATTATTGTCCATACTGTGCTGTACGTTGTTTCTCGTTGGTTAGGCGATTCGACAAGCAACAGTCTTGTATTGAATAACAATAATTAATAAACCCATCTGTTTGAAAAAATCTGACTGGTACCTACACCGCAGTGTTATGTAAATTGTATATCAGGATAATTGTAATATAAGCATATAACTCATTGTTGTAATTTTTTTTTCAATGTAGAATGTCGCTGGTGTGTTTGTGAGATAAACATTGGAATAACGATTTACCTGCATATTATGAGTGTTTTTTTACTATGTAAATTTTATGGTTTTTTTTTTCATGAGCGGGATGCGACGTCAAGGACGAATTTGGCGTTCGGCTAATAAATATTTTTTTTATAAACCCCATTAATTGTTGTTGGGTTTTCTTCCTTTTCCAGTATTACACACTCAGACAAATCCATCAAATTATGTACCTACAGACACGGTTGTGAACATACTCGAAGCAGTGCATTCCCATTTTACTCGTGTAATTTTATACCTTTATCGATCAATGTTCATGAGCGAATGACTGGATAGAATTGATCATAATATGTGGTGTCAGTAGACTAAAATATTTTTATCAGATGTCATGTACTACAAATTGTAATTAGAGTTTTATATTAATATAAGTCAATAATAACATATTTGTATTTTATTATATATTGAAATATATAATGAACGAGTTCTCCGGATCATTTGTATTAAAAAAATCACTTTGTTAGCTCCAGTGCCGGAGTAAACATTTGAAGGTCCCTAGAAAATCATTTTTTAAGGTTTATATTAAATCACTTCTGCTTCTTTTTTTTTCTTAGCGACCATTCACACAGAGCTAACGAAGTGTCTTTGTTGGGATATGGTTATCTGTTATGTTCACAAATGTAATTCGTATTATTTACTTTAATTATGTGTTTATTTATGAGCGTCTACGCGGAAATACACACAGACGATCATAAAATATTTGATTACAACAAATTAATCACAAGATAAAATATAATAACAATTTTTTAAAATTATTACTTCAACAAAGTATGATCAATCAGCAGTGTAGTACACAAAATGTTTTAAAGCGTAAATAATTATTTGATAATTTATCAATTACATACTTATTTTGTAGTATAATGTATTTATAACAAAAATAATATTCTTCTACACTACTATACATGCTATACATACTATTATACATTATGTATAACTCTGATTATTGGCTCTAAAATTTTAAAACATTACCTACTTAGACGAATTAACTAATTAAATATTAAAGACCTTAAAAGAAAATTAAAATATATTATGATGATTTTAAAACTAATAAATATAGTTGGATGTAATAGAAAGAAAACGGGGAATGAGTTATCAAAAGGTAATTACAAACATTTCCCTTCTTTTTTTTAAAAGTCGGGTCAAAGTTTTCAAATCCGATACAAATTAAGCTGACTTTGCAAATATCAGCTGATTATAAAATATGTCGGTTTTCATAGTATAGAAGTAATTAGTAAAATTCAGCTAAAAGTACAAATAGAAAATCGTACCTATTTTTAAAATTATCAATCGACACTTTTTAATATCAGTCATTATAGAATTTTATCCGCAAGACGAAGATAGCGCAAACAAACTACACGCCGTTCGACATTAACGATGTATAGTTACATAATACTTTGTTGTTATACTACTATTATACGTATGTATTATAACTTATAAGCTAGAATAATATGTAGACCACTCACGCGAATGGATATTATGTAGGTACGGAATAGCCGCACGCCGTGCAGTTACTTTACTTACAGTCCATTCCTCTCTCGTTGATCAATGTTTATCGTAATCCAGATATTATGTTTCGTTATTATGATATACATACATAAACACAAAGCCTCAATATATATATATATATATATATATATATATAAACTTAACCTAACCTATCCGCTCGCAGCCGATTTAGACAACATATTTTGTAAATTATAATTATAAATATAATATAAAATCTCCTCAGGTTATCTTAAACCGGTAATTGATGTAATAATACTATTTTATATATATATTATAACACGGGTAAACCGTATATAGACATATTTTTTTCCGCTGTTAGTTTGTTACAAAAATTGGCTACTTGAGCGAATTCTAATGAGCGCACCAATGCAATTGAGGACTACTAGAACAAGTTAATTTTTAACGATAGAAAATTTGTCAACTTATTGTTACTTATATCATTGTTATTATTATTATTATTATTATTATTATTAGGTATGTCAAACTACTATTGAGAACAAAAATTGTAGGTATTGTACATACAATCGAGACCGACAAAATTATTTTACAAAACCGACTTTGTTATCCTCGTCCGTGTTTAATAAGTCGTTATAATTATTGTGCGAGTACCATTAACTAATAGAAACCCTTAAATTAAAAAATATAATCCATACATGCCATGGGCGATGCCGGCCGGCAGACATGAAATTGACATTCGCGTTCACAAGGTTACATTCTCATAAAAAAGTACAATAATTTATACGTTTTTTTAATGAGCGGTAAAATAACATCTAATAACCAAAAAAATACATGACTCGGGAGCAATACAAAAACTATAACGAAATGGAATAGTAAATATAACATATTTAAGTAGTTGGCTATAACTTTTTTGCGCATTTAAATAGCATATGGTATTATAATATGCATTATTCAAACACATACACACCAGTTTACATATATTTCACGGTATGTTCGAGTTCCTAGACAAATTTATGATGTCCTATAGAAAAATGTCCCCCAAAAAAAAAATGTAGGTCAATTTTTTTCTCTTTGTATTATTTGTCCCGTGTTATTGTTATTGTAGATTTTACGCGATTTTTTGGCAGACGGCTTATGCGCCTTGACTGTGTTTAAAAAGTACTGATCACGTTTTGCGGTAAAAACAAAAATCATACATGTATTTTAAGGACACGCCGAACTAAATATTATATTAATATTCGGCGACTGAAGTATTAAAAAAAAAGGTGTGATCTTAACTTTTTTTTCGACCAAGGACAATTATTATAACGTTTCTGGAAGTGAAAGGTTACTGGCGAACACAATAATGACTATTAGTAATCTGTTTTACAGATTTTTCATAAATACTTTTTTTTTATATATATTTTTTCATATTTCAATAAAATATGGGTGTTGTGAAAAAACCGGTTCAACCTTTTTTTTTCTTTGCCATAACCACTAAACTTATTTACATATGCGAGAAGATTATAATGGTACCGTGTCGACTGCCGGTCGAGTTTAAATTATAGTCCTCCGATGATTCAAGGATAACAATAATATCATTTGATTCTTTATTATACCGGGTGATTGGTTAACTATGACCCAGCCAATAACTTAAAAGATATCAGAATTTTATTTTATTTTTTTATATACTTTTGTAGTTATTAGTTAAGGCAAATTTAATATATTTTTAAAACATTTAAAACAGGACGGGAGGGGAAGTGCGGTTGAGTAATGCACGCAGCTAAAAATATCTCTACTACCCTTCCGAAATTTTAATCTTTAATAACGTTGAAAATAATTATCCAAAACTGGTTATCGGACCATTTAACATTTTCAGCTAATTATTCTAAATTTAAAAAGTTATTCAAATATTTTGATTACTATACAAAAAAAACTTAAGTTCATACGATTTCAACATATAAGGGACGGAGTTATAATTTTAAGGATATAAGGAATGGGGTTATATTTTTTTTAAAAATATATTTAATTTTCCCCGACTAATTACCATATGAAAGTATAAAAAAAGTCTAATACCTTCAAAGTTATTGACAGGGTCATTGTCAACTAATCACCCGGTATACATTGCGACGGCACAACTGACCATCGCCATATTGTATGCAACATTATGTGCCGTCTTCAATATTTTTGGCCAGACGCGGGTAAAGACCGCTAAGGAACCGATTAAATATGTAAATAACATAAGTAAGTAAGCGGCGAAGGAGGAGAAGGAGGAGGCGACGGTAATGGTGGTGGTCTGCGGAACCAGTCCGGCAAACGTAGTCGGCGTCAGTCCGGACCAAGTCGTGAATCCGCGTGCACAAAATAGAAAAATAACAAACCGGTGCACCGAGTCGACCGGGAACAACGCGTTTGTTTACACACGTTCGGGCTCGGCCACTACGATTTACATATTATTATATTAAACTTACATTTTATAATAATACATATTTTATGTAAAAAAAAAGTATATTTATACATATAGAGAAAAACAACGAAACCGAAAACCACCGCAAACGACGACAATGCGAGTGAATTTAACGTGATTTATAAATAGTTTTTTTTTTTTTTTTTTTAATTAAATTTATACATTGCCAGACGACGAACATGAACGACTGACCGCAAAACGGAAACATCCAGGAAACATATCTGCTTGATATTGTAGAAGACAAATAACAATCGTTCCGTGACAACAAAATCGACCTTTGCTCATCTCGTTCAGGTAAGACACTCGGGTTATAACTTTTAATAAACTATATTATACTGTACTCGTAGGTATACATCCGCCCTTGTTGGATTTAAAACGGACAAGTACAGATGAGCTCAAAATTATAGACACATCGAGCTAGTTTACTCGAACAGTACGTGAAAAAAATTAATTAAGTCCATTTTTATTTATTATATTTTTATTTATTTATTAATTCTTCATTTAAATTAAATATTTTACGATGAAAAAAGTTACAAAAATGTATTAAAATATCCATTTTAAAATTGAAATACTTCTGGAAAATGTTAAAAATACTTATTTTTTCTCTCTGTACTCTTGGCACAATTCGCACACATACATTTTCAATGAAGTGGAATAAAATATTTCTAAAAAGTGTACTCATCACCTCTAACTATACTTAAATGTGTACAAACCAAAATATATCTAAGAAAGAAATTGACAGTTACTAACCATATCATATAGATTGTTACCAGTTGCACATTATTTATGGCAAATGAGGATGAATTTATAAACCTGATTTGATATAAAATGACACAACGATATTTCCCTTGGTATTACTCATTCTATTTAACAATTAGGGGCCGTTTTATATTCCTAAATATAGAGATTGATAAGTTAATTAATGTTCAACGGTTTTAAGCAACTTGCCGTAGGTCACGATTGGTTCTTTTAGGTCCTATCTCTAAACATCTACGATATCTAAATCTTTAATTTTAGACATAATATGTGTACATCACTATAATTAGAACTAAAATATACAACCATCGATTCGTTTACCTCCTCGTTAACGTACGTGTTTCGAATATGTATGATGGACGGGTGTGCCTAAACAGAGAATAATAACGCGTCCCATACATTTTCACCATATAGATCTTCGACAGGCATATACGTTCAATTTTATGATAACAATAATATCATCTGACGTCTTGATCGTTTTACGAGATGTGTTCAAGAAAATTCATCTTTCGCTTTCTCTGAATAAATGCATTCGGAACTAAGAAATCGTGATTAATTCCTTGTCGTGCCAGAGTCCACGCCCATACCGGTTAAAGGGTATACTGTTTTCGACCACCCTTAAATACTTGACCAATACTTGAGGAGTAGGTTCGTGTTTTAAATGTTGTAGCCTTTGAAAACTAAAAACGTAATTTTTTACGTTTAAATTAAACAACAATATTTAACGATTGGTAAAATGTAGTCGCGTTAAAAAAATACAATGGTAAGACTTTAAACGGTATTGATGATTTTATTGTTGTAAAATAAAAAATGTAATAAATAAATAAAAGGAATAAGTAAATTGATTAAAATGGGAATAACAATATATTTTGAACTATATAAGTAGCGAGTCAAAACATAAAATAAAATAAGACTTTTGTATACTTTTGTTAATAATAATAATAATAATAGCTTTTGGGAGGATAATTTTTGTTTTATTTTTTATGTAGAATAAATAAAAATGTATTGAATCAATAGACATTTAACCGCTCTTTTAATGTAATTTTAGTATGTAAGAATCCGTTTTTGGTCCAATTATAAGGAGTCACTAAATTTACCAATTTTTACATAATTGAGTTTTAAACTAATGCATGAAAAAAAACAAAATTTTAAAGTTTTAGTTCAAATTAAAAAAAAAAAAGTTTCAAGGTTTTGAATTGTGTTTTTTTGTTAATATGACTTAGAGAATAAATTTTTTTTTTTATTAAAAATAAAAATACAATCTGTATAAAATATACAATAAGTATTTACGATAAAAATGTATACATATAACAGTGAATAACCTGTGGAGAGTCCGTTCAATGGCGGAACTCCTACTGACATTAGTAACCAAAGAATAAATAAACGAATTTGATCAGATTTGCAAGAAAAAAAATGCGGCCGTTTAATAAACCAATCCGGCGCGGTTTAGTGGTGCACAAAGGTTCTTCCAGGTTCATATTATACTACTATACTGAAGTATAATACATTTTTTAATATAATTATTTTATGACTAATAAAAAATTCACACTCACTTAAAGAATGCTGTATTTTCTTTATCTTTTTTTTTATATTCAAATAAACATATTTATCATAAACCAAAATTAAAATTTTCTCCATATTCTCTATATTCTATTACTTGAATAAAATCACAGTCTGTAGTAGTGGATATTGTTGAATATCTATTATGCCCTATCGTAACCCTGGATTTTATCTAGGCGGATGTGAAAATAATATTGTTTTTTTTTTGTTCTTTAAATTGTCTTGAACTCAAATAAGTAGGGAGTTTTGGAAAAACCCGTCGAGTCATAGACATTACCGTCGATTAAGAACTCGAAATCGTGTTTTCAATTTAAACTCGTCTTGAGATTAGCTAAGAATAATACAAGTGGCGCCAAACGGTATTACATAATTTTCTAATCGACTATTTGAGATATTTAATTTGTATATACCGTATGGCTAACAGACATAAGCGTATGCATATCTAAGTCGCATTAAAAACATAAATCATGCGTTAGAAATCCGAACGTTAAAAAAACTGCAAAATCATCACTTGCCAAAACGATGGTTTTTTTTTTTTGCAATTGTCTGTGACCAATTGTCGACTGTCGATTATGATGATACAGGAAGTCTTCCCGGCAAAAGTGTGATCCGACCGCAAATAGACTACAAAATCATCTTAGAAAATCAGTAATTTTTCTTTCCCCCTTCTTGCCCTCGATACACACTTAAACAGTAGTCTACTTGAAAACGGGCGATACACCTTTACAACATTTCTAAACGGATCACTTTCGGCCGTTAAACGACATTATAACATTTACACCGCGTGTGATAATGTATTTGATGCAATGATAGAATTTGATTTGCACGTTAATGCACTGCGGTCGATTTTATATATTGTACTTAACATAACCTAGTTATGTATGCAATGTGAATATTTTACTTGTAAACAATGGATTACTATACCTACTTGAACGAATCGTTTTTCCATAATATGCGGCTTAATGGTACTCCCCTACCTCTGCAACAGTTAATTACTGTATTTTTTATATAAATACTGTACATTTTCCAATATACAACCGCGCCGGAGCTGGGTGTATTATTAACATAGAACTAGTTCCATTTATTTCGCACTCAAACCGGTTAGATCTGATAGCCGAACTAAAGAGAAACAAATACTGTAATCTGTATTGTAGTCGGACGACGTACCTATTACTAAAAAAAACTAACTATTTATACATTATGCATTTTAATCCAGCAGCCGAGTTTTGTCAGTCGATTAAACCGAGATCTTAAGTAAATATTGCCTAATAAAAAAAAAATAGATTTGTTTTTACCGTCTATATAGTTGCTGGTCGCGCGCCACGCTTAACGCGTACACTGATTCTGTGTACAATGACCTCAAATTCGAGCTGTAGCTAACAAACTATATATTTTGTTCGTCTTCAGGTATCCAATACGATGGCTTTGCAATGGATAGCTGGAGGGTTCGTGGTGTTCCAGCTGCTGGCGACCGTTCTTTGTCTGGAAAACGGATTAGCCAGGACGCCTCCAATGGGATGGTTGGCGTGGGAGAGATTCAGGTGTAACACCGATTGCAAAAACGACCCCGACAACTGTATAAGGTGAGTTTCAACTAGGCTAATGATACATATTTAGTCACGAGTCTCGTTGATCCAGTAGTTGATCTATATGTTATACTGGAAAGCAATTAACAGATGTTAGCTAGTGTATTACATAATCAAATGTTCAAGGGATTTCAACCGATAGGTGTCACAATTAAATTAACTTTTTAACTTTTTTTTTTCTTCAAATTATTAGGTATAGATAAATAATAGTTATAATAAATCTATCTATTTATGATTAGGTAGTAGTAATTGAAAATATAAGGAGTAAATGTAAATATTATAGTCTAATCACTAATGATCAACTCATCAATTATCAGTTCCCACGTGTTGCGATTTTCATACGAACACGGAAAACAAAAGAGAGCAAAACGTTGTAACACAAAAATTGTTATGTTTTGTCCTTAGCGTGACATGGCCTTTTTAATATGACGGTCGGCGATGCATTGTATGTAGATCAATTTTGTCTTATAACACTGTACTCTCATAGGAAGTGCCCGGCTATTGTATCCGTTATATTAATAACTGTTGAGCATAATATAATGTTGATTTTTCGGTAAAATTCGTTTGTATTCAAGGTACCCGATGATATTACACATCTAATAGACAACGAGCTCGCACAACCTTGTTTGAATACAATTATTATGTTATTAATAGAAGAGTCGTCCAAGCGATAACACGGTGCTTGAAGCGACCCAGGGTTTTCGAATCGCCGCGGTCATCCAAGGCTCTCTCCATAGGCGTGATGATCGTTTCTGATATTTTTTACCCTGAAAACGTTAAGTCACTTTCTCGGCGGAAATCGTTCTTCTACGTGGAAACCGGCGCCGAAGATCAATTGTGCTCGGCCTAACCGCAAAATCAAAATTTCCTCAGATCACCGTTCTGCTTAGTGACCGTTCTCTTTCCTCTTAAATGCACCACGAGCGCAAACGATACTATTAAGCATAGCGTCTGTCTCGTCCAGCGGTCGGAAGTCCGTTCTAATCACTCGTGTTTGGACACAAGAAGCGGATTATAATATTATCATTAATGCCAAGGGTATACTACTGCAGAGTATATTATACAATTATAATATGTGTAACCGCAGAGTTCAACGGTGTCTCGAGATGTACAAAAAAAAAAAAAAAACAACGACTCGCCATTGACATTCGTCCTTGAGGACTCTGGCAAAATTATTTAATAATACGAAATGGCTGATATTAAATTATTACACACAATAATGTGTATACATTATTTACATGTAATTACCCGCAGTTTTATCATAACGAGTAGTGCTATAACAAGTCTTATTGTACAACCGTGTCGCGTCGGTCTCCTCTTCTCTTTAATCATCATCATCCACGTTAATTATCAAACACGCAAACACCACGGCGGCGCTACACAAGGTTAGAAAGTAGTGCACTTTAATAAATATGTGTAGCGCCTTAATGGTAATAATGTCTTTGCTTCTTCTCTCGCCTCTCCCGCAGTAGTCAATTATCATTTATGTAATTTTCGTCGAACATGCCGACGCGGTTTCTTATTTTCAATGATTTACAGCTGACACTTGCTGGCTGATCGACCGAATTCGTCAAGGTGTAGTATATAGTGAATAACCCGCAGACGAGATGAAGAAAATCGTCCGAGATATTATTATTACTATGACCATCATTTGCTTCGGGTTGTTGCGCAACGAGATCACTGCGATCAGCATCGATCCGCTGGCACTATAATAATAATAATAATAATACATACACTAGATTCTAACCAGAAAACTGGTCTCGACCGTTACTCCCGCCCTGGGCCCTCGGTTAGGTTATCCTTGTCGATCCGGTGCCACGACGTGTATTGTGTCTTGTATATTTCATAAACAACAAAAAAAATATTGCTGTTGTAAAATTATTATGTGTTTTACATAATAATATCGTATACGATTATGTTTGTGCAGAAATAAAAATCACTGTACACAATAACGAAATCGTCACGACTCACGAGTAGATCAGGGCGCGAACGACGACGACGACGTTACAGATAAAACAAAAAAAAAAGAAAGAAACCAGAAGAGATCACGACCTAGAGTAAAATCCAACGCCGTGGGTTAGCCTAACGTAAATGTACAATCCGTTTATGGGCAGACCATTGTTTGTTGATCGATTTAGCACTGTACAACTTATCGGAAAGTGCGATCTTCGCTAGCTGTCAGTCGAGCCTTTCTTAATGAAACCGTTTGGCGTTTCAAATGATCAAAAAATATGTTTCTGAACGGTCATCGTCGAAATCGCTTCAATTTTTGAAACTCCCTTGTGTTGTAATCTCCGAGTAGTCGCCTTATACGTCCCGACTCAGAATCCGATGGGTTAATTATGTAAACGAATGGGAAAAATGTCAGGTACACGGCAGTTTTTAAATATGAAAAAAAAAACAATATTTGTTTGTTTTATTTCTAAACTACGTGAGTATGCCAGTTAAACACCTTAAACATATAATATTTTAATTATTTAATACCAACGTCGATGAAAACTAAGGAATAATTTTCACTCGAGTCTCGACCTATTCCAAAAGTAATTACTAATTGTGTAAGTTGTAGACGTTGTGACGTTCTCGATTGAAATTGAAAATAAAATAACATTGATGCAGACATCTCGGTAATATAGTGTCAATCATATAAATTCGCCTCATCAATTATCCAAATTATTTTATGCAAATTAGTAAATTACTAATCAGAAATCAAATTAAAACGCAGTTTTTTCATATTAATTAGGTATGTGACAGAGGCAAATTTTTTTAATTAACAAATACCTAATGATTTTTTTTTTTATACTACATTAATTTTTCCTGACTTGCGGGTAGACCGTTTAACATTGCACGCTGTCAATTTCTAAAGCAAATTGTAGTGCCGTCAGTCGTGCTGTAGCATTCTGTGTGCAATGAAAATGCTTATTAGTGTGTAGGTATGTAAAAAAAAGTTACACTAGTACAATAATACAAAAATGGTAAATTGACATGGCATATATCATTAACTTTTGTATATGGCGAAGAATAATTTAAAATTACTTCATTAAGACGTCGACAAGTTTTCATCGTTTATATGCTTGATTATTTGAACGATACTTTTTTTTTCTTGTGATGTATATTTATTTTCTGTAGGTATACTTATCGGTTACGCCTCGAATGTTGGAATATTTTTTTTTTTTTGTTCATTTCAACCTTCTTGGCAAATTGTTTTTCGCTCGAGTTCCGCCGCTATGGCCGTTTGGAATCGGCAAACAAAATAAAAACAAAAAAACCGTACAAGTCACGATTCGGATTCCGGATCACTCCGGTCGGATGCCATCGGTGCAAATGAAGAAAACCTGAACCGACTGGCTGGTTTTTTTTCGATCGGATATTTATTTTGTTCGTGACACGATAGCCGAGACGTTTGAGGTCGGTTCCGATGAGTCCTTGAACCTACAACAATGTTTTGTGTGGGTTTTTTCGCCCGCCGGAATGGTATTATACTCGATAGATATAGGTATGCACTTGCTGCACTTCAGTTATCCATGTGCACTTTGTATGTCCGTGTGAGTTTATGTAAACGATGACAGGGAAAATGCAGACCAGCGCGTTATTGGAAATTACCAGAAACGATCGTTTCACGCACACATTTCTAGGTCACAGCCACACTCGATTATAGGTTACCGTGGCTACTGTACACTGGGTTGTCGAAATGATAATAATGTATAATATTATAATGTTTATGACACGGAGAAAAGAGGCAATTGCCTCTCGAAAAACCACCGACGGCGGCGGCCGAGTTTGTGCGATAGAGAATCATTTCGATACACCAAGCAAATCAAAGACTAGCTGTTCATCTCGACAGCACCTGATATTAACCTATAACCGTAAACCGAACCGCGTTTTTGTGCGCTGTTGTAACACGAAAATCGCATCTAATCGCGTTTCGCGCACGTTCAATTATAATTGAATTATCTTTTATGCCATATGCGGTGTACGACCGTGTTATTATGGATATACACATACTCACACACTCGTACATGTATATATATATAATATAAGTCTAGTAACTGCATTTACCCGGACTCCAGTATGCAATAATAATAATTATGCATATCCTACTTTCGTACGCTATAAACGAGGCGAAACATAATTTCTTTTTTACTTAATACACGTTAAATATTATTATTATTATCATCTACAAAGTCGTAACACAAGAGTTATTATTCAACGTAAGCACTAATAACATGCATAGACACGACTAACGAATATTAATTTTAATTACTGGTACATTAAATACGTGATATAATATTATTTATTTTTATCAGCGACATAATCGCCACAAAAGTAATCACGGAAAATATCAACATGTAGTTATGCGACGTACAATGAGTTGATACATTATTGTAAACAAATAAACGTTGCCAATAGTACCCTGCTGCTATTTAAACATATCGCGCTAATTAGGTTGTACAATATAGTTGTAACAATATTAATGAGATAATATAAGAGCCCAGTCTGCCCTAGCCGATTAAAAAAGTTATAATTTCCCCTAAAAGTATATCAACACGTTTGCCGGTTTCCTTAACGTTCATTTAAGGTTTAATAATTCGATTGACTGTTTGTAACATCTTTGCTCATTGGTTAAAACTTAAACACTATTTTTAAAAGCCATTAAATATGTATTGCAAAATAATTTTATTTGTGGAGTAAATAATTTGAACAATACAACTATTAAGTCAATAGCAAAGTTTATTATGTATAAGTAACACAACCCTTCTCTTCCGTACTTTTCATTGCTTAGATATTTTGACAAACTTCAGCTCTCGTGGAACTCGAGCGATTGTAGGTTGTTCATTATAATTAGGTACGCGTCTTACGCGAATACGATCAACTCAAAAATATAACATATGTAAATGATAAAAAAAAAATGTAATTTATCTTTTTTTGTATGATTTTTAAAGGACGAATTTTATTTCTCCAGATATGAACTTATTAAGTTACAATTTTAATTTTAATTATTATCTCAAACACTGTGTTTTTTATAAATACTAAGTTATTTTTTGGCTGTTGTTGAATTCTATTCAGTGAAAACCACAGTTTTGTTTAATGATTGTTAATTTTTGGGGTTTTTTTTCAACAGTGAAAGGTTGTTCAGGACCATGACGGACATCGTCATATCCGAAGGATATGCTGCCGTAGGATACGAATACATAAACGTGGACGACTGTTGGCTGGACTTTTCCCGGTCGTTTGACGGAAGACTTCAGCCCGACGCAAAGCGATTTCCCAGGGGAATGGCCGACCTGTCCGAATACGTGAGTCTTACATGATAATAATACATTAAAAAAATATGGTAAATTGTAAATCGCACCACAATAGTAGTATATTATACCAAACATGAGCACTGACAGCAATAACAGTGATAATAAATTCAAATCTACTCCCAAAACTACCTACTAAAGTATACTAATATATATATATATATTTTTTTTTTTGTTACACTAGCATAGTGTCTAAGTACTATGTTAATTATACTTAGCGTAGCAAGTAGCATTACAGCGTTACCTAAAATGAACGCTTCGAATCATATTGTATCAATGTATTTAATATAAGTCTCAATAGTCCGAACAATACATATTGTGTATAGTATAATATTCAATTTATATGTTTACATTGGTGCGAACATGGAAATACAACAAAAAGTAACGATTAATCATCAAGGCATGGTCTAGACGATTACAGCATGTCGACGGCGTATAACTTGATTCATGTCAAATTATACATTTGATATTAACCAATATTGTTATTGCCGTTGTATTGGATATACAATTATGAATGAAAATTAGTCACGTTCCTATGTTTTATTCAACCGAGTTCGCGATAGCAAATGTTATTTTTCAATCTAACTAGAAAATGTTGTTTTTTTCGGTTAATCGCTGCGATCGACCAAACTCTATCCATAGTTTAACGTGTATGTACAGCTAATGTAGGCTAGGCACTGGGCACCGTTCAATATATTATATATATATATATATATGCTATCAATAATTGATGATAATATATCGTTTTTAATTTTGAAAAGCCCACTGACATTATGAATACAAAAACCGCAAACAGTTTTTTTTCAACAGCCGCGTACGCGTATTAATTAAAATTCCCAACCCGTATTTAAGTAGGTACGTACACGTACACGATATACATTTATTATAATTCTAATATAGAATTTGAATAGAAAAAAACGCCGTTATCATTAATCCGGACGGATTCTGTTTACAAAAAGAACTTAAAGTACATGTTATATAATACATACAATTATGTTTTCGAGCACTTATTAATACTGACGTTTCTTAAAGTTTTTGAAAAATCAAATAAATGTCAATTTTTGAAGTAATTTTATACTACTTTTTCGTTTAAAAAAAAAAATTATTCGAATTCTACAATGGATACGGCGACTCGGATAACGCGATAATGCAGTAATTAGATTGAAGTATAGAAAATACCAGTCGTTGTGGCCGTCTAACTATAGTTGCATAACAGCGTTGCTTCCACTCTAGTCTATCTATAATTGAACAATATCATACTTAATCATAATTCATGAACCGCGGTTTAAGATTTTTGTACTTGGGTTACTTCGTGAAAAGTCAAACATGCAGATCGAAGCATATAGATCTGCTTTACAAGTATTGAATAAAGTATACACGTTTTCCGACTGCACAGTGCACACCATATGATATTATTGTATGGTAACGCCCGTGTAAATGCACCAGCTCACGTTTTGCCCCCTTTATCCTTATCAAATGCAATACATTAATTGCGCTTTGTTTGCGTTACCTAACCGCCGGTAACCTATATTATATATATGATCTGTGCGGCTTAATAACAAAAAATACATGTAGTATGTACATCATAGACATAATAATATTATTGTGTTCACGGCGAACCGCAGATGTATTTGCACGCGAAACGATGAAAACAATATACACGCTGTTATTGTTATTATTACGCAGTTAACGCAAAGCAAATATGTGTAAATTATAAAATAAAAAATAAAGCACAAGCACACGAAAATTATTACTTAAACGATTTTAACCAGGGCGTGACAATGATACGACTAATTTAAATGGGTTACGAAGCGACGACAGGATGCGGTTTGTTCCTCGTCGCAGCGGATAGCACACAGAGAATAACAACAACAAAAAAAAAAAATCACTGCAATACTTGGTCTTATGTATACATATATATATATATGTATAGAATTACTTCAGAACTAAACACCGGCGGCGTTGTCGTTTGAAAACAAAAAAAAAAATGAAAGAAAGAAGTCATTAAATTATTAGTCTACAGGTGGGCTTGACCGTATGGAATAAAAAAAAGTAATCTCTGTGACTAAAATAAGTACATAACGAGTGTGGTCTGGTACACTTCTATGTAATGTTACAGTTCTATATCAGGCCGACGTCCTAGAATATTATATATTAGTAGTGTAATACTAATAATGGAATGACCGTAGCGGTAGGTACACTTTTTTTCTCACTTGCCAATAATTGCTAAACGACCATACAGACGATAACCATAGAAAAGGTATATAGATACACTGAAGTTAAAGAACACAATACAGAAAGCTAAGGAATTTAAGTAGCTTGTACACCTTGCGTGCTGCAGATTTGATTATTTTTCAATACGAACAAATACCAACTAATGTTGTTATATCACCATTTTTGTTTATATGGAATGCAGTTGAATTGATAACTAAAAAGCAACAAATTGTGTTACTCGTAATTGTGTAAGTATTTCATTAACAAATTATAATGGCACCTGTTCAATTGTAATTTATCGTTAATACTTTCAATATGTCTTTAAGAAGACGAAGAAAGTTTTAAAAGAATTTCAGTTTATGTCTTGTATAATGTAAATATTATTTTAGAGATTGAAATTTATTTTTCATAAAGTAACGCTTGATAAGATGCGAGTTCAGGATGGATATCATTACAACTTATTTCAATTATTATCAAAAAAAAAAAACAAATAACGTACAATTATTTTTTCACGATTTACAAAAAAAAAAAAATGATTGGTCCGAAAATCTTGCAATTGCGTGACTTTGACTCTCTCAAATGTCATCACTCATCACTGATTCTAATTTCTAAGTAATGTTGATTTGTGGCCTTTTTTTTAAAAAAAAAACTTTCATCACTCGCTTTATAAATATTATACATTAAAATCCCTATTAATATAGGTTCTAAAAGTTTAATCAATCGACTTTCCATTTCAACGTTATCTTTCTTTGTTCATTATTAAGGCTACTGTTTTAATTAAATAGAATACATTTGTTATCGGTAACCGTTCAACGTACATAAGAATATACTTTGTCGCACCTTGGTCTAATCGACTTATTAATATAATGTTATCGTTTAAAGTTCTATATGTATTGTATTTTATAAAGTGTGCGACTAATTATTTAACGGGTAATAAAAAACAGCTTTTTATTTAGTGCAGCGTTTACTTTGAACGTTTAAATTGCTCTTGAAATGTTTTTTTAATTCCATTATAATTTTAATCCCCATGTATATGTACATTTTATTTTCAACGCTTTGTTTACAAACAGATTACATAATATTATCACTGCAAATAATAAACTATACAGGTTCACAGACTAACTAATTAAAAATTAATCGAGCCAAGTATTGTTTTTTAATTGTCTGAATCGACAGCAGTCAGCAAGTATTTTTCGTAGAGGTTAAACATATTTTAAGGATGCTCGTTTTAATCTTTATATACGTATTAAATAACAAAAAAACAATATTTATATCAATAAGATAAAAAACATGTATGTTTATAATTTTAAATTAAATAATATTACGCAGTTTTCTTTATTGTTTCGCTTAATTCTGTTGAAATATTGCATGTTGCACGTGTAGATAATAACGTTACGTTTGTCGAACACGAGTTCGGAAAGGCACTAGTTATAGATGAATGATGATTTACAGAAGCAATAAAGTAAAAACACTGAGTTACTTATTTTTATTTTTCTTCTAAGTACGATAATTATTGTTCAATGATTTTCGAACCATTTTTTTCCCCTTTATAAATGAATTATATAAAAACGTTTATTTTTGCAAGTTATTCTTGCAACCAAAAACTAACGCCCGTTGCTTAACTGGAAGTCATATAATATCAGTCGGTCTATCTGTGTTGAATACAGTGTAATAGGTGCGACCTAGACTTTGTGGCGCTCAAACACACATTCATACATGACACAGAGTAGGAAGAATTGGGCGATCCTTTTGATTCCAACGTTTGATTGTTTTTTACCCTCGTCCTCGTAGTCACCGTTTTGTAGGCGTTATTATAAATTCTAAAAAAAAGTGAAAGTTCAGTGCTAATGGTATTTTAACGGCATATGTCCAAAGGTTTTTTGCGGTAGTCTATACAATCCTTCCAACAATAATGATAATAATAATTATAATTATTGTTTTCACATACACATACACACACACACACACGCACACTCCAGTATATTGCATTGCGACACGCCGGCGGTCCTTTCGGGTTACTTAAAAGCGGGTGGGCGAACAAAGCTGCGGTTGATACGAGCCAAGTAATATTCAATTAACGCCGGATTCGAAAAAAACATATTATTGCACACACGACTATCTTACAATAATATGATTGCATCGTAAACGCAGTGGTGAGATGAGGTGAGATAACAATTCGTTGTGTTATGTAGGATTCCCTTACGTTTCGAATAATATCAACAACAATAATTATTACTATATATTCAGTCTTGTGTTATTATTATTATTATTTACATTGAATTCGGTGTGAAGAACCGGAGTGAAAGCCGCCGGGTTTCCGGAAACGCTCATTTTGCGTGTGATTGATGCGCGTGTACACACTGTACGAATTCCAAAACGCTCCTAATAATTATTATTTTCCGAAAAAAAAAACGATAAAAAAAGTGTTCGTAACGTGTTTAAGAAGAAATTAGTCTCACGAATTATTCAGTTGCGGAGATAAAAAATATCTATAACTAAATATTGGACGGTAATGTGCGAAATGACTCATAAAAGGATAAATTAATCTAGATTTGGTTTAGTTACAGAATATATTTATTTGTGTAAAGGGCACGTGTATATTGTCTGTAGTATGGGTTTTACTCATGAAGACTAGAAAACATGGCCGTTCACGACCTATCATCCATAGATTATTTACCAAATATACAATAGTGATTTTCACCAACTAACGCCGGTGTTAATTTTTCGCACCTTGACGTTTGCAGATCCACTCGAGAGGACTCAAGTTCGGCATTTACGAGGACTACGGCAACTTCACTTGTGCCGGATATCCGGGCGTGCTGGGCTCCCTGGAGTTGGACGCGAACACGTTCGCCGAATGGAACGTGGACTTTGTCAAGCTGGACGGGTGCTATTCGCTACCCAAAGACATGGATCAAGGTGAGTAGCATTCCTTATAACGTAGCATTGCTTACACAACTCGAATGAATATCTAAATGTTATTTTCTCGTTGTACAGGTTACAGCGAATTCGGTTATCACCTGAACAGGACCGGCCGGGCAATGATATACTCGTGCAGTTGGCCCGTGTACCAGACTTACGCTGGAATGCAAGTGAGTGTCGTTTTTTAGTCGATCTCGGCCGATTTTTTTACCTATTGCGTAGTGTGCGTCTGCCTCGTGCACGGTACAACAATAGTATTGTGCTGACCACGACGACTTGATCCGTGACAAACGATAGACCTATTACCGTATAAGCGTGTAATCAACGGATACGTTAATATTCCATATGTTATACATGATAGTATTACTATGAGATGTGTGTGTGTGTGTGTGTTTATATATGGCAATAATTAACGTCACTTGTTCGATACTGTATTATATTATTATGTATATCGCCGGGTGATCGCAAACTCGTTATCGGACGTTTGGTCCTCCGGCGATCGCATAGAAAGCGTTTACTCGGTCTTAGAACTGAAACAGTGTTTACGTGCAGTTAGATAATCGTGAAAATCTCTCGGATTGACCGGCAGGGTAATAAGGCGAAAAAAAATACTTTGCAAATTATATTAACAAAAATAATATGATCGACGAAAAAAGTTTATGTCGGGTTTTTTTTCACCCGACTAGTATTGCGTTGTAACTTTCATTTTTATAATGATTTTCATAATTTTCCTCTACCGCGACAGCTACAACGCATAAATATGGTGTATAATATTTTGGTATTTTTAGATTTTTTTAGATTTTTCAATTTCCGCTTTGTTTTTTTATGGTTATTTAAAACACGAGTTCATCGTTTTTTTTTACTTTTTATTTGTTGCCTTAACAAAAACACCTACGGTGGGACGTGTACGGTGTACTGATTTCAAAAGCCATAATATTAGTTTGCTCAAAATTAGCATTACAGTTTTAGCGATACGTGTTAATGCATAATTAATACACGTTAGTTTAATCGGTCATTCGTCTAATTTCATAACCCTTAATTTATTTACTATTGCACGTTAATGTATTATAATGCGTAAGTGCTAATAAAACCAATATCCCAGACAGCAACGTATAAAATTATGATTTAAATAAATTACGTGAAAATTGTACTGATCGTAAACAGTTTAAAAAACGCGATAATAACATGTTTTCTATTTGTCGCGCTGTACGGGATCTGATACACTTGATAAATTTGATTCGATTCGCTAAAAGTTGCAAAAAGTACACGATTCCCTATTATTAGTTATATAGTATTGCTAAAACAGAACAGTCCTTCTACAAGTTCCAGCGGCAATAGCTGTTTAATCGTTTAACTCTTATAAAGTTATTACTTGTAAAAAATACTTACACGAGTAATTAGTAAATCGTTTCAAAAATCGAAATGAATTGATGTCATTTTTTAAAAATCAGCCTCCGTAAGAGTAAGGACGAAGTCAATTTTCAAGACAAAATAGACATAATAAGACATAAAACTTATACGGTATTTTATAATAGTACGATCAAAACTTGCCAATCAAACGTTAATCCGAAGCTTTTGTCGCGCTCTGGTTTTCGCCAAAGTCTTAACGTTCAAACGTCGACCGGTGCCCGTAGATGGCGCCGCGTTACCAATAAAACGCAATTATTATTAATCAGTGTCTTATCGGTGTTGATGTACTTGTTTCACGCACGAAGCCAAACTATTCGGCCATAACGGAAAGATGTAACCTGTGGAGGAACTTCGATGACATCCAAGACTCGTGGGCGAGTGTGGAGAGCATTATCGACTATTACGGCGACAACCAGGACATCATAGCGGCAAACGCAGCACCGGGTCACTGGAACGACCCCGACATGGTAACTATAAATTATAAAGTGAATTTTTGTTTCTAACAGAGTATATGGTTTACTTGATATACATATATATATATATATAAAATTGAAAGTGCGTTGGACCGTCAGTGGTATCGACTGTAAGCTTAAATGACTTGTCGAAACAACAGTTTTTAGCATTGAGAAAATAATATTATTTTAATAATCGTAATTACTAATTATAGTTTAAGTAAAAACTCAAATACATATTTTCCAACGTTTATTTTATTTTTATTTACGGCATAAATTTAAATGTAATGCCACATATTATCTTAGGTCTTAGGTGTAGTAAATAAATAACAAATTGGTCGATAAATATATAATATGTATTTTTACATCAAAATTTTGGAATTCACTAAATTTTCTGTAAAATAATATGTAATTGTAATTTTTGCAGTTCTTCTATAAAGAAAATATGTCATTTAAAACCTTTTTTAAAAAAATAAAGAATATTTATTACCAGTCTAGTATGACCCAAAATGAACCAATTCGAAGGGAAAATATAAAATGTATCCGTCAACATGTTATTTTGTGCGAGAACATTAAAATATATTATTAGGCGATTTTTTAATTATTATTTCGTTAAATTAGTAAAAATATTAAAATGAGCATTTTAAAGATAAAAAAGTGTATTTTTTTATTGTAGATAATTTGAATTTGTAAAGTGTGATATTTAATTTATGTGTAATATGTACATACTGCATTTACATACAAATGTATTGAAGTGTAAAATTGTAGCCTTATACCGCTTTGTTAACAGTTGATCATCGGCAACTTCGGGTTGAGCTACGAACAGAGCAAGGTGCAGATGGCTATGTGGGCTATACTAGCCGCCCCTCTGCTCATGTCGGTCGACCTGAGAACCATCCGACCTGAGTACAAGGCGATTTTGCAGAACAAGAAAATCATAGCCGTCGACCAGGACAGGCTGGGAATCCAAGGCCGGAGAATCTACAAGGTCAGTATCATAAGACAATTTTATCAGTATATATAAACGTTGTAGGCCGGCCCTAGTTTAGCGATTAATTAATCAGTAGTTAACCGTTTTCTAGCAATATATTATAGTTTTGCCATTATTGTTTTCAAAGGATTTCTCACAAAATTAGATTGACCCGCGGTGAAAGCTTTTAGATTTGTAAACGCACGTTTTAAGATATTACACACTTATTATAATTTTGTATATGTTTTTTTTTATCATTGCGGCAAAACTTGCACGTAACAAAATGAATTTTCTAAATGCTATTGTTTGTGGAAATTTAAAAAATATAAATTAGATTTCGAAACAACGTCGATAACGCTAAAATGCTAATATGGGTTTTTCTTTTTTGTTAATCTCGTTGTCGATAAAACGACAGACATAAAGTCCAAAACACGACACGTCCAGCGTGTGAACTGCAAAGTACTTAAAAGGAAACGGGTCGTTAAAACTTGCTTTTCGTAATCGGTAATAACTAGCTGTGCCGCTGTTGATGGCTATTACGAATTTTGACCTAATAACAACGGACGGAGAAAATTGTAAAAACAAAATACAAAAAAATCTATTACGTACAATTGGTACATTCGTTGAAAACGGTGAGATGTTTTCGCTCATACAATGTGCCAACAATTGCATGGTTTGCAATTAAAATTCATTTATATCTATACAAAAAATGTAGATGAATAGTTTTAATTAAACTAAAAATTATATTAAATTTACTCAATTTTTTTTAATTAAAAAACATTGGTTTATGTGATATCCGGTTCATCCCGCAATGTAAATTAAGATCATGTTCTTAAATTTTAATTATAAATTATTTTCTTTTTAAAACTAAAGGTACAACTTTGTTGTAATATAATATTACAATACTCGAGCAAACGCAATTTACTTGGAAAGGTCTTTTTTTATTACTCTGCGTTAGCCACTTTTTTCTAGGCTGATGGGTTTAACACGAAAAACTTATGTAACAGCGTAAGTACCTACCGTCCAATGTGCTAATGATTCTGAATAACCATGATCTTGAACATAATTTATCACTAAAAGTAATGCTTTTTAAAAGTTAACCATTTTAGTTATGAATAACTCAGTAGAGTAATTTCATTGTAGAATGAGTTAATATAACCACATTTAATTATGGCTTATTCAGTAAAATTTACCTACGCGTTTTGGATTATGTTTGCACGAATCATTTATTTTCTTTATGGCTATAATATTATAATGTACACTATGAGTATAATGAAATTAGGTGTAATGTAATTGCCGGTCCGGTTCTCCAATTATCTATGGTAATATTCTTTTGAATAATCTAAATTTACAACATTATCATGAGGGAATAATATCAATAATTATAGTTTTTTGTAATCGTAAATTAATTGCCAAATAAGTAATAACTACCTATGCTAAAAAACTAACAATGAGGAAAACCCGGATACTTGCGGATGTTTGGACAGAATAAATTAAATCTGAAGGGCTGCTTACAACGTAAACAAATATATACTCTGCAATCGCATCAACTCATTTGATTATATTATATATATATATATAGGAACGATGTATATATAATTAAATACAATACTTGTTACATAACAATAACAAGAAACAACATGATTATTTTTATGTTTCCCATATTAATCATTTTTATTAATGACTGAGCCCCGGTAGTACTTACATAACTCATATTCACTTACTTACAAACTATATAATATTCACTATATTGTAATATTATAATATTATTTTTAAATAATAATATATTTTTCACTATATTATAATATTTAATTATATTATATTCTCGGTACATATAAAAATGTTATTACATCATAAGTACATAAATTACATGCAAAGTGTTAACATTTAAAAGATACCACGAATAATGGGATACGGTATTTTTACAGTAGTACAGTAGTAGGTCAGGCAGTCTTTTACCAGAATAACCAAACAAAATTGTATATGTCGTACAATTTTTTTTTAATTATCACAAGTGTGGTAAAATTTGAAATCCTTTGACACAATAATAATGTATTGACATATGTCCACATATTCCCATAGGCTATTACATCATCCAACCGCCACTTTTGATCAATTTGTATAATTTATAATTCTTCTGATGTAACTTGTCATGATAAATAATTAAATAATTATATTTTATCTTCGTTTTCAAATGCCATTAGTTCTAAATAATTTCTGTACAACCGATAATTAGTTGTAAAAAATCATAAATTTAATAGCGCCTACATATTAGGTTAAACCTAATTGGCCTAGTGTAATAGTATGACAATTGACAATATTAATAATAATTAATAAAGTGTTAGCCCCGACATATTAAGGTTTTTAAAAATAATTAAATAGTTTTTAATTTTTGCAAGTTCTTACTTATTCCTGGCGTTTGGTCCAAATTTTATGAGAGTTACTCAAAATAATAAAAAGAGGTTAAATATTATGAAAATCTGAGGTATTATTATTATTGTTATAAAATTCAACAGCAGGAAAATAATAACATACTAGCTTAAAAATTATTTATAATATATATATATATATATTTATTATTTAAAATATTTAATGTTGTTTTGATAAGTAAAATAACGTGTGCATGTTGCTGTGAATTTTTCCACCGTTTTTATAATGGAATCTTTTTTTCAGCATAAAGGTATTGAAATCTGGGCTCGACCCGTAACGCCAATTTTCGAAAATTACTTCTCTTACGCCATCCTTTTCCTTAACCGTCGGACCGACGGCACCCCGTCCGATGTGGCCGTCACCCTGCAAGAGATGGGATTACTGTCACCTTCAGGATACAGGATTCAAGTACGTACCAACCCATTGCGTCCTAACGGACAACATGAAATATTACAAATTTGATTTACTTTTTTTTCTTTCCCGCACAGGATTTGTACGAAGACGTCGACTACGGCGTACTGTCCCCGCAAACGAAAATCAAGGTCAAAGTAAATCCCACCGGTAAGACGCATCAGCTGAACAGAACACAATTATATTATTTCATATTATTAACCACCAGAATCCCACTATACGAAACACCAATACCTATTATGCAACCCTCTGATTAAACGTCTAAACGACTGTAATAAGCTATAATGACAAAAACTACAAAAAAAAAAAATCACGTTTTTGATTATTTTATAACATTTATTTTTATTATTATTATTTGATTTATATCCACTTTGGCAAACGTGATAAACTACTTTTTTAAGCTGTTTCGGTTTCAGTAAGTCTCTGTGTTCTACGGCAAGTAATTGCATAAGTAGTATGTATAATGTATAAAAAGTAGGTATATATAAGGAAATGTCTGATAAAGGTTGTTTTTTATGACCTAAAAACAAGGTGCCAATTATAAAAATACAATTTAAACAAGTTTAAAAACAATATAGACGTTTAAAAATAGAAATCTTATTTTATCTCATATGAAAATTCTTCTATAATTTTTAGCGTCGACGCGGAGCTGAGAAATTATTTTCCATTTTCTAACTTTTCACATGACAATCGATATTTTCTTACAAATTTAATTAAGCAATTTATTTGTTTGACTTTAAACTTGCAAAATAAAATAACGGTGAGGGTGATCGTGCCTGAAAAGTTTTTGAAGTTTTATTCTAATTTAAATAATATAGCGTTGATTTCCAAACTCAACATGATATTATAATAATTGCGCTACCGTGTTTTCAATAAACTACAATCGTTGATAATTATAGTTCGGTCAACTAAATGTTTAGTTGGGTCAACTATTTATTTAGTTATTCCAACTAGAATATTTATTGTGTCTTATTTAACCATAATTATGGTTGCCGCAACTATATAGTTTTTCCGTGCATAGAAAAAAATCTCAAATTAATTTATTAATACCTTAGGCATTTTATACGAAAAATCATGTGGGCGATTATTAAGTAGTCCAAGAGAAACAGTTATTTGTAACGAAATGGGTAGTTGAGAATTACAAAATTAGTACTTAGTTGGCATAATAATTATAGTTTATAATAATCTAACACTCATGTCTCATTATTGTTACGCACAATTTCATTTCGAGATCCACAATTATTAACTTTACTATACTTAACCGATTTAATACGTGTGGTATCATTAACAGGTGTAGTCATATTGAAAGCGGACGTTCAACAGATCCTGGCTAAACCACAACCGTATTACAAACCGTACAACCCGTTCACGCAAGTCTATCCCTTAAGGACGGCCAACGATTTTGTCAAGAAATGATAGCGTCTTAAAGAGCTTACAGGTTCACTTGACCCCACAACGAAAACAAGTGTCCCTGCGAGACGATCAAGTTGCATATCAAAAACTTCAACAAAAAAAATAACTCAACCGATTGCCCGACAAAAAGAGAAAGGATCCTCATTATTTGATTTCAAAAATAAAGATTCTAAGCAAAAACAAATAATGATAATAATTATTCGACTCGCCTGCGTATATATATTATGTTATTATTGTAAAAAAAATATATATATATAAATACAATTTTTTTTTAAATTTTGTGTCATATGGCTTTTTACATTTAAATGTAAATTCAACGATTTTTATTTTATTTTTAAGCTATATTACTGCTGCATCAGTACCAACTGCTTGTTGACTTACTACATAGGATTTATTCAATCTATGCTTACAGTAATTGCAACGCCATAAAAACGAACGCGTTTACGCATCCAAATAGCATAGAAGATTTTTTTTGTCGACGACACCGTGTAATTGGGTTTAACCTTGGCGCATAATCGATTGTGACTATTGTTTTTTAGGTTCTACTCAAATTAACCCGTTGACGTTCGTTTTCGTTACAGATGTAATTTGCAATACTCTAAAAACCGTGCATTTTTTTTTCTCTTTTCTAAACGAAACTAAGTCGAATCACAGAAAATCAATAGGTCTGGAATAACCTGATTTTAATAGATTTCTCCCTACTTGGTTCGTTTCAATTAAAATAACACGGCAAATATCATTGTAAATATTTAAAAACATATACAAAAAAACTACTATGTTATTTTTGTATTTCAACATTAAATAATTAACCTAAGTAGAAAATATTTTGTTATATTAACAACATTATATTTTTTATTATTAAATTGAGATGCATAAGGTTTTAAAAATAACATACATACATACAAAAGGTATATAGTACAAAAAAGGGTTTAAACACTTTTTAGGTAGTGAGTTAACTAGGTAAATCTAGACACACTATAAATTATAGTACAGTTTGTTAAGTAGAACTATCTGTGTACATTTGAATGATGAAATATGTTAGGAAATCAATCAACGCCATCCAAGTTCGGGTAAACGTGTTTGGAGTGATTAGGGTTCATATAATATATATATATATAAATAATTTTATAGTAATAAATAATATATTATATAAATAACGGAGTGGCGTTTTGAATAGGCAACTAAACTCTCTTCTAAGTAGTCAAGTACTAATACGCATGAAGTCTACATTTTGGCATACTATTTAATGACAATTTCTGAAAACTATAAAAATTACGACTTGGAAAAACAAAATAAGTAATACAAGCGTGAGCATTGAAGCGTTAGAGCTTATTATACCGGGTGTGACAGATTATTCACATTACACGAGAGTGAAATAAATACATAATCTGTATGCATTGTTATAAAGTTCAAAGTTGAGGTTTCTAATACTTTCTACTACGTACTCATAAAATATTTACGTAGAACTGTTTAACATGTTGCTACTCCAAATGTTTTTCTTAAAATATCCATAACGTAATCAAGGTATGCATAAAAAATAATGGAGATTATTATTGATTATACTAGACAAGTTCTAGAGAATCATAATATCGAAAGCTTGAATGACAATTTGTTTTAAAACGTTTAGAAAACTTTACAACATACTGATCAGGTTAAACACATATAAATTGAGTGTGTAACTTTTAAACGTATAGAAATTATACATATTATATGGATAAGAAAAGTTAAAGCTAATACTAAACAAGCTAATAACTCAACACATGGAAGACTGCAAATACATCATACTTAACAAAAAAAATATTATGTAACTTTCTTATATTTTATCAAACGACATTTTAAATAAACCGCTTACAAATATAACTGGCAATCTTTTTTTTTTTTGTATTTATTGCAACTTCTTTTAATAGTACACTGTACACAAAGGTCATATACGTTTCATTTATCCGTCAAAATGTTATACATATTATAGTATAAAGATGGGCTTTATTCGCAAAATTTGACAATATACCAACACACATCCCTTTCTCGGTTTCGCCTTGACTAGCACGTGTTTCGGTTGTCGTTTACCATTGTGAATAACGCATTCCTTTAGACTCTAATCGTAAAAAGCCAACGACCGCCGTAAAGCTCTTTAAAGTGGATAAACAAACTCTCTCGCGTTTCCCTCCTTTTAAGAACTCTCAATTTTACTAGTATATTGCTATTGCGGCTTAATGTTGTAAGTTTATCTATACTTGTCTGAAATGTATTTTATTCACAAACATACCCGCGCAATCGTTATTGTAGTTAAGTACCTATGGACAATGTGATTATATACATATATTTGCTATAGTCATATACTTTATGTAGCCTTAGATAATATTATTGAATTTATAGGTCACAAATGTAATTGGTTTTAAGCAACAGATGTAACATAATAAAAAGTAATATAACTACAACAATTACTGTCCTGTTAAATAAAAATAAATTTAAAAACTTCATCCATCCCCAATTATACGCCTTCGAAATTATAATACTAACACTTATTCTTGATTGTCACCAGAACATTTGAAAACGACCATAGTCGATTTCTCATAAATTCTCTGTGGTATACATCTGCAATTGGGGAATTAGAAATCTCCTAATTAATTTTCATAAATTTGTGTCAATAATATTATAATTTGTTACATTTTTATAATAAAAAAATGTCAACCCTTTATGTTCAGTTTATACTTTTAGAGATATCAAATACATGGACCTCACCTAACTCTATTCTAATGTTCCAATGTATTTTTGTTATTGTACATGTAGAAGCCACGTAGATGCAGTTTGAACATTTCTGTGGCGCTACAACTTGATTTAGCTCTATTAATTGATTTATATTTATAAACAAATATTCAATATACAAATTTAAAATAACCGTCTGGTAAAATTGTTGTAAAAGAACTCTGTTAAAAATGTTTAATGTACATGTAATAAAAAATATATTTTTAGCGATACTTTAATTTATGCTGCTCAAAGTTCAGCATACTTTTTTTTAAAAACAAAAGAAGCAAATGAAAAAAATAATTCCTCTAATTTAATAAAGGAGATGAAAATAAACATTTAATGTTTGTACTTCATTCACAATTAATTTCTTTGAGGAATAAATTATTTCGTTCTAAATTTACGGTTAAACTTGAAATAATTTAAGCAGCAACTTATTTTTCTTTAATTTTCATTAAATATATTTCCAGAGTATGAATTCCTCTTTGTTTAGCATGTGCCGACTTTTTTTTAACTAACTGATGGTCTTAATTGTATTTGGTCATTATGTATAATGTTAAGGAAATACACAACACAAATCCCAATAATTAGTAAAAAGACATAATTTAAAAAAGAAGACGAAATAGTAAAATACTGTTACTTTATTATTCTACACTATTAGTCATTTATAATATTATCGTTAACGAATTGTTGTGGCTTTAGTTAAAATAATTAAAATTATTAATCGTTTTATTATGTGGATAATTTTTGACATTCGTGTCCGTTTTATTATATAGTAACCAGTCAAATTTGTATATTGTACATTATTTTAGTTGTCAAAGTATAATTTATTCAGTTTTTGTCATATATTATGTACAACGAGATATCGTCTGCATTTACTTTTTCTTATTGCAACATACCGTATTAGTTTCACAAGAGCCCAAGATCAATCGAACGGCTCAATCCGGATATAATATGTAGATAGATTAATTAATTTCGTTCAAAAGTTTTTGATGAACGTATATACAGTCATTGGTTTTTATGCATGGGAGATAATGATATATTTAGGAATTATTAAGTACAACGGTTTCGTTTGTTTTTCAAACTTTGTTTTTGACTTAACAACACCAGCCTAAACTCATGTTTGGTTAGGTTGGTTAACGATCAATGCAAAAAATATGTCGTTGTTTGTTTAGTACATGACAAAAGCCAAGAAATTACCCGGACAAGCGGGACAACTATAAAAAAAATAGTAGGTCATAGGTTATAGTAGGTGCTAGACGCTTGTAAAACGGTAACTCCGACTTTCAGATAATTTTAATAAAGATTAATCAAAAACTTTAGCACTTCTAACGCAATTATACATTTATTTCGTTTTTATGAAAACACTTTGGCTTAACAGGTAAATACAGTCCAACGCATCCGGTTGCAAAACATTTACTTGCGCTATATAGATGTGTATATTAATGAATTAAACGAGTAGATATATATTATTCATATTTCGAATTTCGCGCATTCCGAAGTTATGGGTGTCGTGTTAATGAACTTTGTACGTCAGCAATACGTGAATACATTTTGCTCGACTCTAGTAATGATTTTGTCCATTGAAAATGATGTACCTTATAAAACGACGGATGTTGAAGGACGGTAACGGCGTTCTAATAGGTTCGATATTTGCTTAGAAAAATGTTGCAAAGTCCAAATGAGTATATGTAAAAGTGGAGGGGGGAAACTTCATTGATCCGGATATGATGCACACCAAGTGTATTGGCCAATTATTTACACGTCTTGTCAAAACGGGGAGGCGGCGCTTGACGCGTAAAGGCGGGCGGGGGCGGCAGAGGCGCACCGCGCGCGTTGTCGGGGCGCGCGTATCGCCACCGCCGCCGTAAGCCGCAGCCGCCTCACCACACGAGCGCACAGTATACACGTTGTTCGCGCTGCGTAGACGCGGTCGCCACACATACGTACGCACCTGCCGCCGCCCAAGCTGACGCAAGCAGTACACGGATAACGCACGCAAGTCCCGTAAGTAGTACAACGCGGCACCGGCGAGCGCGTGCCGCGGCGGTCAGCTCGGCAGATCGGCCGGCGACGCGGGCGCCACGTGCTTTTCCGTAGTAGTAGTAGTAGTAGTAGTAGTAGTAGCCTGGTAGTGGTAGTTGTACCAAAGCGCGACACAATATTATGTGTTTACAAGTCACACGCGGCCGTAAGCGACACCACCGAGCCATGTCCACGTGGGCCGAATTCCGTCCTATTGACAACACTAATACGACAATATATTGTTGTTGGATGTTTATACGACAATAGCGCTTACTACTCGCAAGGGATGATGCTAACAATAAAAAGAAGGATATATTATTACTATAATAGACACTGAACAATTATAAATTAAATACAACGTTAAAGACAATTATAACGCGTTTTTATAAAGATTTTTTTACGACCACGCGAATAACATTGTTTCTCTCTCATAAACAACAAATATAGTCACTACTTGTTTATATTTTACTTTCTAAGAAAACTAATTTAAAGCAGAGACACCGCAT